CCACGCCGCCTTCAGATCATCCCAACTGATCACGGTGTGCAAGTCCGCAGCTACCACTCCGTACTTGGACAGGAGGTTGTCCAACCAGGCCTGGCCCGCGCCCCCTGAGCGAGAGTACAAGTAGGCGTGGTGCTTGTGTTCCTTGACGTTGGACAACTGCAGCGTGAGCTCGAACTTGCGAAACCATGGAATAGGATCTGTCTTCGTTGAGTCGCAGAAGATCTCCTGCCCGTCGAACTTTGGAGTGGTCTCGCGCGGTTCTGTGCTCGAAGTGGTGGCGGTAGTGCAGATCCGCTGTTGCAATTGCTGTGTTGCGGTTTGCTGCGATTGTACGCCATCCTTGAGTGCGCTGACGTCCATCTCCAATGCATTGAGGCGGTCGGTAGTGTTGGAAGAGCCTGCGTCTGCGGCGGCGACTGGTCGCTGCTCCAACCGCTGAAGGTGGTCTTGGAGATGAGTTAGCGAGGTGTCGAGGCCAAGGATCTCCGCCTGCTGTGTAATGCAGGTGGCCAGGAGATCCGTGAGATGCGAGAGGAGGAGCGCTATCTTGTTGGCGCTGTCCTCCAACTTGCCATCCTCGGCCTCGGTCCGCCATGCCGCTGCCATGGTAAGTAACGCCCGCTCTCCAGTGAATATCTTCTCACGACGCAGTATTCTTTCTTCATCGGCAGCCCTTGCTGCTGCCTCGTCATGCTGGCGCTGTTGTTCAAGTGCCAGCAGACGTGCCTGCTCTGCATCTTCCGCCTTCTTCTTCGCTGCTACTGCAGCGTCATCTGCCCGTTTCTTAGTCTCCGCACTCCAGGCCAGCATGCGGGTCTGATAGGCCTCGTCCGCTTCTCCGGGCCTCTGGTCCATGACTGCTGTTTGAGATCTCAATAGCATAGACCGGTCGGGGCCTGCTGATAAGGTATCCCTTGCTGCTGACGTGGCTCTGCTGATGTGTCCTGCTGATGTGTCCTGCTGACGTGGCCTGCTGACGTGTCCTGCTGACGTGGCAACTCACCAATGCCGCCGCAGGGGGTACCGGGATTCAAACAGAAACGGTAAGGCGAGTGATAGCAACAACATAGGTGGGGAGGGGTGGGTGGGATAATCGCCCAACTCACACTTCGGTAAGGAACCACTAATCAAAACAAAAAAGTTTGAACTTTGCAAAAAAAATTCGAAAAAATAAAAATCCCAATTTTTGCAAGTTGGGTAGGTCCCCCAACCTCCCTTGAAGTACGAAATGATCACTGAAAGCGAAAAAAAAATCGACTTTATACTGCAAATGATTGATATAACTGAACGACAGAATCCCCGACCTGCGAAAAAAATTCCAAACCGAAATGACAAATATTCGGATTTATTCCGATAAGGATATTCACAGTTTGAAAATAATACCGCAGGAGAGTTTTCCCGTACCGTTTTTCAGAAACACGAATTTCAGAAAAGACAATATCCCAAATTCCTAAATATCAGGAGATATTTCCCGTACCGTTTTCAAAAAAACGAATTTCAGAAAAGACAATATTCTGAATTTCCAAGTATCGGGAAATGCAACAGGAAATTGAANCAATATTCTGAATTTCCAAGTATCGGGAAATGCAACAGGAAATTGAAACTTTCGAAAAGAAAAATATTCCGAATTTTCAACAACGAAATTTCGAATTTTCAGAAAAAGACGAAAATGAAAATTTCAGATGTTGCAATATTGCGATTTTCCTACAACAGAATAGCGAGAAAAATAAAATCCGAGAAAAAATTTTGATTTTCGGTAGCAAGGTCAAGATCGTGATTTTGGGGTCTAACTGGTATGTCCTAATCAATCGAAAAAGGCTACCTAGCTCTTTTGTCCCCACACACGTGTCAGATCAGGTAGTCCTGATTCAYGTGCAAAGCTCCGATACCAACTATTACATGCATAGATATGTGATGTTTGTAATAACCGAGGAACTGCAATGTGACGAAAAGGACTGAAATGGACAATGCGGTGAGAGTAGAATCTCGACAGACAATGTGCATTCTCATACATACAAAAGTGCTGAATAGTGCAGGGAACACTTAGATACAAAGACTGACCTGGCAAGGACTGACCTTACACACGTAGTAGCAAGTAGCGAAACAGACTGCTAGAATATTGATAACTAGTTCAACCGATGGTTGAACTCAGACCGAACATGCATCGTACCCCTCACCAGGTGTGAAGGAGCCTGGCGCTGCACACAGGAAGAAAGCGCCAGGTCCAGACATGCATAGACGAAGAGGTAAGGATCAGACGAAAGGAGGGACGAAGATGGGAGTGTCGTTAACACCAAGTCTTTGTCACCGATCCCAAATAAACCCTCGTTGCCATGTCTGAATCCCAAAAAGTCGAGTCTTGGATCCGATATCACCAAGCTCGGTATCTCTTCTCTCGCAGTCTGCAAATGCAGTGAAGTCAAGGGTTGAGAGGGAGAGAAGGAGATGGTGGACTGAGAAGAAGAGGAAGAAGAACTCACTCTCTCTCACTGTTACGAACCAGATACTAACCTGCGATGTGGCGCTGTGCTGCAGGTACCTTGAAGACGAAGCTGGAGCAACGACGCTGCAGGTAGGTACCCCTGGTCTCCGCCCAAGCTCTCTCTTTCCTTCTCTACCACTATCCTAGCTATGGCGCCCAGCACGAAGGCTACTAGCTACCGCTACCACTACTATAACGCAGCGCTCCCTCCAGAGGGGTGCTCCTGAATCCTGAAGACTACAACTGCCGACTGCCTCCCTCCTGTAGGCCAGGCCTGTCCTTTATAGTGCCGGCCCGTGCAGGTGGCTGGTCGTGCCAATGCCCTATGCGCAGGAGGCCGCTCTTGCCAATGCCTCCCTGGCCTAGACCCTGCAGAAGCTTCCAGGCAAGAGCCTGGAATTTCCCTGTAGGGAAACAGGTTGGGGCCTGTAGGCCCTGTCAGAAGAAAGCTTCCAGGCAAGAGCCTGGAAGTTTCCCTGTAGGGAAATAGACTGGGGCCTGTAGGCCCTCTCAAAAGGAAGCTTCCAGGCAAGAGCCTGGAAGTTTCCCTGTAGGGAAACAGGTTGGAGCCTGTAGGTCCTTTCTCGGGCTGTCAGGCTGAACCGTCGGCGGGGCCTGTAAGCCTTGGATATCAGGCTTAAAGCCTGAAATTCAGGTTTTTGGCCTGAACGACGTCGAGCCTGCAAAATGGCCCGTGTGTGCATGTGCAGCATTTAACACAGATAGAGAGAGAGAGAAGCAGGTGAAAACTCGCAGTGCGCATGGGATCACGCGCTGTTTATGCGGCACACGGGGCACCCCGAAGAACAAAGACAGACAAACGCACAGTGAAAATCGCGAAGTCCACCGGGATCCGAACTAAAGGACGGTGCGTGAGATAGAGACGGCGGAATCAGATTTCGGGAATTTTTCGCAGGAATCAACACTTGCATCTGCCAAGTTCGGATCCCGACGGACTTGGAGGATCCGCTGGAATCCAACCGTCCTACACATTGCGCGTGGACCATTGCGTGCAACTTGATTGCGAGAGGAGTATTGGTGCGCAAAATTCCTTGCCGTCTGGAATGCCCTTGTAGGGGTTTAAGGGGGTTGCAGTTGGTGGCAGCAGACGTGTCCGTCGTCGGTCTGTCGTCGATCCCGACGTGCTCTGGTAGTCGGAGGCCCTGGGGTGCGCTAAATGCTCGCGTCAAGAAGTGGCTTGTAGGGGTTTATGGGGGGTGCGGCCAAGCATCGTTTGTTTATGTGCAAACGCGAACTACACGTTCCAATAGCTGCAACCACAAGAAAATCAGTTGCTCGCTGCACACACATCGGCCAAGTTCGGATCCCGACGGACTTTGAGGATCCGCGGCAATCTAATTGTCCTTTGCATGAGGCGTGGACCTTTGCGTGCCCGTTGCTTCCGGGAGGAGTTCTGCTGCACAAAATTCCTCGCCGTCTGGAATGGCCGTGTAGGGGTTTATGGGGGTTGACGTCAGTTACTGCAAAAGTGTCCCTTGTCGGTCTGCCGTCGATCCCGCTGTGTTCTGGTAGTCGCAGACCCTTCGTTCCGCAAAGTGCTCGCTTAAAGAATTGGCGTTTAGACATTTATGGGGGGTGCGGTCAAGCATTACCGGCTTCTGTGCACACGCCAACCACCTGTTCCATTAGCTGCAGCCGCGCGAAAACCTGTTTCTCTCTGCACTCGCATCTGCCAAGTTCGGATCCCGGCGGACTTTGATAACCCGCATGCATCTAACCGTCCTTCGCATGAGGCGTGGACCTTTTCGTGCGAGTTGGTCCAGGGAGGAGTATTGGTGCACAAAATTCCTCGCCGCCTGGAATGCCCGCGTAGGGGTTTATGGGGATGGCCGTCGGTGACAGCAGACGTGACCTTCATCGGTCTGTCGTCGATCTATGTTGCCCCCTGCGGGTTTGGACCGTCACGGAGCACGGAGTCTTATCGCGGACGTGCTCGTGTTCCGGAGCGCTTTCGGGTTCGGGCTGTCGCATGTCGACATTCCCGGCGCGCGAATCGGGGTTCGCCTTGTCGACTGGCGGAGTCGGGGTTTGGAGGGGTTGCAGGGGAGGGGGTCTTTCATCCATTTCTTCATTTCGACATGTTATTTACGGGAATCTGACTGCGGGAATCTAACCGTGGGAATCTAACCATCCTTCGCATGAGGCGTGGACCTTTCCGTGCGACTTTCTTTCAGGAGGAGTATTGGTGCACAGAATTCTTCACCGTCATGAATGCCCGCGTAGGGGATGTGGGGGTTGCCGTCGATGACAGCAGACGTGTCCGTTGTCGGTCTGCCGTCGATCCCGACGTGTTTTGCAAGTCGGAGGCCCAGGGGTGCGCAAAATGCTTGATTCAAGAAATGGCTTATGGGGGTTTGTGGGGGGTGCCGCCAAGCATGGCCTGCTTCTGTGCAAACGCCAACCACCCGTTCCAATAGCTGCAGCCATGCGGAATCTTGTTACTCGCTGCACTCGCATTCCGCCGAGTTCGGATCCCGGCAGACTTTGAGGATCCGTGGGAATCTAGCCGTCCTTCACATGATGCGTGGACCTTTGCATGCGAGTTGATTGCGCGAGGAGTATTGGTGCGAAACATTACTCGCCGCCTGTGTCTGTAGGGGTCAATTTGGGGTCGTGCTGAGCCGAATTGTCTAGTGGTATATCCACCGCTACCATTTGTTCTGCGAGTGTTGTCGCACGATGACCAGTTGAAAGCGCGATGGCCGTCCTTCTGTGCACCCAAAAATAGCGTTCCTTGCGTGCCCCCGCTGACGCTCCCTTCAAATGACACCGGCCGCGCGAAAACCGGTTCCTTGGTGCTCCAAGGCCCGCTTGAACGACGGCTCCCTGCAAGCTTCGGGACTCTACGTTATTCTGACCGTCATTTTCAATGGCTTAGAGTTCCCCGTGCGTTTTCATGTGCGGTGGCCTGGTGGTGCGCAAAATTTTTCGTCTTGAGGATTGCCCTTAAAGGGGTTTATTCGGGTTGATGACGGTTTCTGTGGCCGGGTTGAAATGCGGTCTGCCGTTGATCTTCGTTGCCCTCCGATGAAAGGAATTGTCGCGACAGGTGAGGTTCAGTCGCCGACATGCTTCTGCCTCGGCGTGCTTTGCGCTTTGCGCGGTCAGGTATCAACATTGCCATCGCAAAAGTTGGAGATCGCCTTCTCGTTTTCGCGGACCGGGATTTGTTGGGGTTCCGGGAGAGTCTTCCATCCATGGTTGTAATTTTCTTCTCTACGCCGCCTAGGTGTTGGAGTTGAGCGCTGTTCTACCTTTGCCGTTCGAAATCAGGTAGTTTGGTCGATAGGGGTAATCGGTGTTCGCAGGGGTCTCTTGGGGCCCACGCTGCGACGACTTGTGAGGTGCTGCACCCACGGCTAGCCTTCCTACTGACAGCGGCGAAGCGTGG